TTCTTATAGGAACTGGATAAACCTTGGAGAGTGATTGAGATCAGCACTGGGATGGGGGTGCAGGGAGGGAGTGGGTATTTGAAACTGATGTCTTTTCCACTAACTAGCATGACTATTGCCCTTACCTGTCCCCTGCTCTTGCTTCTGCTTGTGTGTTTTTCTTCCAGGTGCCCACCCCTGCATCCCTAAAAGCTTTGGCTACAGCTCAGTGGTCTGTGTCTGCAATGCCACCTACTGTGACTCTCTTGACCCCGTGACCTTCCCAGCCTTGGGGAACTTCAGCCGCTATGAAAGTACACGCAGTGGACGTCGGATGGAGCTGAGTGTGGGTGCCTTCCAGGCCAATCGTACTGGCACAGGTGACCACTTCCCCATCCCTCCCTCCACTAGGCTCAGTCCTCCTGGATCTCCGTCATGCCAGTGACCAATTCAGAGTTTCTTTGCTGGGCACTGATACCCTTTTTTTCCCTGCTGTTATTTTCAGGGCTTCTATTGACCCTGCAGCCAGAAGAAAAGTTCCAGAAAGTAAAAGGATTTGGAGGGGCCATGACAGATGCTGCTGCTCTCAATATCCTTGCCTTGTCACCCCCTGCCCAGGATTTGCTACTCAAGTCATACTTCTCTAAAGAAGGTGAGGAGGAGTGGGACCAGAGGACACAATGCATTGACACTTTTCTTTGACCCTTCCTTGTATTTTTTCATGTTTCTTTGATATTTAGTCCCTTAATGCCACTGGAATAGATTACCTTGTTAGTGTTCTACTAAATGTGTGAGAGTCTCAGGCAAAGAGGGCTTGTGCTTTACCCAGGTTCTGGCTTCCACTGTCCCAGGTCGAGCACCACATTCTCTATGGTCTTGAGACCCTACTGAAGACTGGCAAATGATAAGCCATGATCCAGGTTCTCCTGTTGATTCAGACTCCCATATCTCGATCATCCTCTGCAGGGATTGAATATAACATCATCCGGGTACCCATGGCCAGCTGTGACTTCTCCATCCGTACCTATACCTATGATGACACCCCTGATGACTTCCAGTTGCACAATTTCAGCCTTGCAGAGGAAGATACCAAGCTCAAAGTGGGCATTTTGGTTGCCTCAGGCTCTGATGGCATTCATATCTGGGGGTCGAGAGAGTCCAGCTAGGGCTGTCTGCAGAGGGATATAAACCTGCCTCTGCTGCTGTTTTGTCCTGGGGGGTAGGGTGCGGGCTGATGGCTGAACCTGACATGCTGGTTGGGCTGGTTTGTGATCCACCTCTGGGTGTCTCTCTCACTACTTTTGTTTCTAGATACCCCTGATTCACAGAGCCCTACAAATGTCCCAGCGCTCTGTCTCACTCTTCGCCAGTCCCTGGACATCACCTACTTGGCTCAAGACCAATGGGGCAGTGAATGGGAAGGGGTCGCTCAAGGGTCAGCCAGGGGACATCTACCACCAGACCTGGGCCAGATACTTTGTCAAGTAAGGGATCAGCAAGGCCATGGGACCTGGACCGCCCTCCTCTTTAGACATCTGATCCATGTCCCACCCCTCAACTTGGTGCTACTTCTACATCAGCCTCTCCTACCTTCTGAGCCTTCCAGATGAGGCCTTTTAGCTGTCCCCACTCTTAATGTCAGAGGGTTGTGGTCCATTTTCTTGGTCATGATCACTCCTGTCCTTTCTCTTGCTAGGTTCCTGGATGCCTATGCTGCATACAACTTAAAGTTCTGGGCAGTGACAGTTGAGAATGAGCCTACTGCAGGGTTAATGAGTGGGTACCCCTTCCAATGTCTGGGTTTCACTCCTGAACACCAGCGAGATTTCATTGCCCGTGACCTGGGTCCAACCCTCGCCAACAGTACGCATCGTGATATCCGGCTGATCATGCTGGATGACAACCGCTTGCTGCTGCCTCACTGGGCACAGGTGGTAAGGCCTAGGCTCCCCATGGGTACTCTAGCAAACCCCAAATCTAACATCCAAACAGTTGGCTCCAAGCTCAAGAGTGCCTTCCTGTTCCAACTCTTTGTATTTGTTCCATCTCATAACTCTCTACTTGCTTCATGAAGATGACCCTCAAGTTATTTTTGTTTTTTGTTTTTCCCGACAGGATCTTACTGGGCTTGAACCCTAGGTGATCCTCCTGCCCCAGTCTCCCAATGGTTGGGATTTCAGATGTACATCACCATTCCCAAGTTGATCCTTAAGTTTTTTTTCCCTTGAATTATTTTTCTTTTCCTTATATTTATTGATACCTTTGGTTCAATTAATGTGTTTATTGAGCAATAATCAGTGCCAGAAACTATCCTAGGTAGTGGTTATAGTAGACAAAACATGCAAGTTTCTACCTTCTCAAATTCTGATGCAGACAAATTAAAATATGTTAATTATTAAATGTTGATTAGTACTCCGTTGTGGAAAAAGCAGGAGCAGCAACTATAGTTTGAATACAGCTAGTTAGGGAAGGTCCCAGCGAGCAGGTTTCACTTCAACAAACACTGGAGCTGAGGGAGGGGCTGTGCAGTACTCAGGCCAAGTGAAAAGGGCCTGGAATAGGAGCCTGGGCTCATCTTGAGTGCTTGAGAAACAGTAAGCAGGGTGAGCAAATGGCCCTGCAGGAAAGGCTCAAGGAATCCCATTGGCACAGCAATGTCTTCAAAGCATTGTTTTTATTATTTTTGGTTTTTTGACACAGACTCTCATTATATGTCACCCAGGCTGGTCTTGAGTTCATGATCCTCTTGTCTCAGCTTCCTGAGTACCTGGGATTACATGTGTTGGCTGCCACCCTGCCCAACTTGATTACTAGAGCAACCTGCGCAGGCCATATCTCAAGAACTCCTAGTTTGTCTTCCTGAAGCCCTGAGGGCTCAGGCTGCCTGGCTTCAGACCTCTTTTCTCTTGCCTGTAGGTGCTGACAGACCAAGAAGCAGCTAAGTATGTCCATGGGATCGCCGTGCACTGGTATCTGGACTTCCTGGCTCCAGCAAAAGCTACTTTGGGGGCAACACACCGCCTGTTCCCTGACACCATGCTCTTTGCCTCAGAGGCCTGTGTGGGCTCCAAGTTCTGGGAGCAGAGTGTGCGGCTGGGTTCCTGGGATCGCGGGATGCAGTACAGCACCAGCATCATCACGGTGAGTCGCTGACTTCTCTTCCCACAAGGCACCTGCAGCCTTTTCTACCTCAAAAAGGCTGGCAAAGTCCTTCCTTCCCAACTTCGCTGCCTACGTGCTCTTTGGGGCAATTTTGGGCTACTATAATTCTCTATCTTGTCTTCTTTTTAGATTATGCCTTTTCCAGATGCTTGGATTCAGACTGGCCTCTATTTTCTTGGCTTCCCTTAAAATGTGTCCATCTTTTTTTTTTTTTTTTTTTTGTCTTTTTCAGTTTTTATCGGTACCAGGGATCGAACTCACGACTGCCTGCTTGCAAGGCAGGCACTTATGGCACTGAGCTAAATCCCCAGCCCCTAATGTCTCCATCTTTACAGTGACCTCTCCTTTGCTATTAAGGAAACAGAACCCTCACTCACAGGAGCCCCCTGGCCCCATATTCATCTCCTGACCCCAGCTGCCTTCTCTGAGACCTCCATGTTGAGCCTTGGCCCTTCCTTGTCTCTACTTCAGAACCTCCTCTACCATGTGGTTGGCTGGACCGACTGGAACCTCGCTCTGAACCCTGAGGGGGGACCTAACTGGGTCCGCAACTTTGTTGACAGCCCCATCATTGTAGATATTGCCAAGGACACGTTTTACAAACAGCCCATGTTCTATCACCTTGGCCACTTTAGGTGAGTGGAGGGCACACATTCCCATTCTACACCAGGCCTGTCATCTTCCACGTCAGGCTTACATTGCCCCGAATTCAGCCATTCAGGGTCGAACTGCTGGGAGAGGCATTCCTATCCTTCCTAGAGATATATGACATAACATGACTAGGCAGAGGCAGAGACACAGCCAAACCCAGGATGCCTGCTGCTGGGGCTGGGACATGGGAGGGTGGTATCAAGGTGAAGCAGCAGGGTTTGAGGCCTACAGAATTAGGGCAGAGCTTTGGCGGGATTTATGGGTGTGACAGGTGTGTGACTTTGTGGCCAAGAGTTGGTAGGTGGTGTTCAGATGGGTGGAGGGGCTGGGCCAGTCGCTAACGATTGTTATTCCCACATTCAGCAAGTTCATTCCAGAGGGGTCTCAGCGAGTGGGGCTGGTGGCCAGTGAGGAGAACGACTTGGAGGCCGTGGCACTATTGCGTCCTGATGGCTCTGCAGTTGTGGTCGTGCTGAACCGGTGAGGGCAGTGGGCAGGTCTGGACCTGGTCCGGGGTGGGCCTTGGCAGGCTCACATGCTTGCTTTTCTTCTCCTTCCCAGCTCCTCTAGGGATGTGCCTCTCACCATCAAGGACCCTGCCATTGGCTTCCTGGAGACCATCTCCCCTGGCTACTCTATTCACACCTACCTGTGGCGTCGCCAGTGATGGTGCAGATACTCAAGCAGGTCCCTGGGCCCGGCATGGGCACTGAAGGCACAGAGTCAGCTCATATGCTGAATAAAGGAAGTGGCTAAGAGGGGACAACAGGGCTAGGATGAGCTCACAGTGACACAAATCCAGGGGCAGTGGTTAGGTGACTCACTCTTCTCTTTAGTAGGTGCCAGGGGCTAAAAGCCCCTAGGGGCAAGATCAGGAAACCCTGGTGTCTCCGACTCCATGCTTTTGTAGGAGGGCTAAGTGCTGGTTGCCTGTGGAAACTGGGCCTATGCCCAGGATGAGCTCATTGTCTGTACAAACACAAGATTGTGGTGGGGGGAGGAAAGAAGAGATTAAGAAAACTGGACCCAAAAAAGGGGACTGTTTGTCTTTCTTGAAGATGCAAAACTGGGCCCATGCAAAGCAATGTCAGCATGAGGGCAGAAGCAGCCACAGAAGCCAAAGCCACTGTGTACGCTCTGGCACCCAAATGATTCCATGGTACTGGCTGGGAAAGTGGCAGACCCTTAAAGAGAATGTTTAGCCTAAGTCAGTTGAGTGGTTTTATTTTGGAGCATAGCACCCCATTTCTGGCTATATCAGTAGTGGGGAGGCAAAGGGGCCTCTGGAATGCATGACAGTAAAAATGTCAGTCCTGGAAGGACGGAGACAAATCTACTCTTCATCCTCCTCAGCCATGCCTAGGGCCCGGGTGCTGGGGGCCTGGGCAGGTGCTGCTCGCTGGATGGAAACGATGCCACTGAGCAAGGCATAGCCCACCATGGCTGCCAGCCCCACCAGCACAGACAGGATCTGGTTCCGCCGAGGGTATGGCTCCTCCTCAGTCTCTGGGCCTGCTGGTGTCTGCCGTGAGGGTGGCACCTCAGCTGTGGGCCAAGAAAGGAAGAGAAGCTAGTCTCGGGATAGCAGCCCACTCCTCCCAGAGCTGTCCTCCCTCTGTCTCCTTACCTCCATCCCAGGGGAAATAGATGCTGAGGATGTGGGCACAGTAAGTGCAGAGGTTGTGCAGACCCCGCAGGTGGGCTTGCAGCTTCCCACTGGGCAGCTTCGCCTGCAGCAGCAGGGCCAAGTAGCTAAAAACAAAGGCGTCCAGGGAAGCAGGACTGGAAAGAAAGACGGAGAAGGGTAGAGGATGACAGCTGGGTAGGTGATTCAAAATGGAGCTGGGGGGAAGAGACGCCCTTGGGACGCGGGCTCTAGGCAGCAGGAAGCTACCAGAGGAGGACAGGACACACAGTTCTGGACCTTGTATGAAAGACCTCCCCAGGTGGCGCCAGCCTGGCCCTGAATGGGGCTCTATCCCAGGGAGCATAAAGAGCACATTGAGCTCCCCACAGCCCTGCAGGCCTCTCCTGCACCTGGCTGCTCTCCCACCCCACCCTGCTGTACCACCGTGGTGTCTCCAGCCCCACCACACAGCTGCTGTCACCAGAACTAGTGTCTGGCCCAAGGACCTCTTGCCCAGAGCCTAAGCCCACCCCAGCCACTGCATCTGAACATGCATCATCTTCCTTCCAAGCCACCCATTCCCCTCACTAGAGTGTCACTCACGCATCTCCAAAGAAGAACTTCTGAGACCCCAAGCGCTGGGAGAGAAGGGTCAGGCACTCCCGAGCCTCCTGGTACAGCTGTAGGCATGACACAAGTAGGCTTTCAGTCACAGGAACAGTGCCACTCCCCTCCTGACTCTACCATCCCTGGCCATCATCTGGGAGGCACATCTCATACTACAGCCCCATATCCCAGAGGTACCTCCTTTTCCAGTTCTTCTTCATTCTCAGGCCTGTGCTCTCCACATAGCAGTTGTAGCCGCTCCATGTGTTGCCTTTGCATGCGGCCAGGCAGGAAGAAGTTGAGGGGAAAGGGCATAGCTTCTGCATACCACTTCCGGGTCACCTCCACATAGTTCTTGGTATCTATCCAAAAAGTATGGATCTGGATTGGGTAGGCAGGAAGAGTAAGAGATCTGAGCCAGTGCACCTCCCCGACTCAAGGGAGGCTTCTGACTCCCCTCACCCCCACAGGCCAGGAATGCTTGGAAGACAGGTACACTTACCAGCACTGGCAACAGCTTTTCCTCTAGCAAAGACATGAAGGCCAGGGTGTCTGCCCCTTGTCGGGCTGACAGATCATAGTCAGCATTGTACTTCTGTGGAAGAAATATCCATGAGGTGGACAAGGAGGATGGTAAGGGGGCACTTTCCAAGTGGGGAGGGAATGGGACCCCCCACTCAGCATCTGATTGCAATGGAGATACAGTTAGCTTTACCCCCTGAGTCTCTTTCTCTAGGCCCAGTCAGTAGGCTGTTGCTGTTGGCAAAAAGCCTAGGCCTTGGAGCCTACTGGCTGTCAAGGTCCTACGCCTGCAGGGGAAAGGAAGGACTTGCCACAAACTAGAAGCAGCTTCCAGAGTTTCCACGGAAAGCTGGCCACACGCCTGCTGACGGCAACTTCCTAACAGTAACTGCTCCGACCCAGACTCCACAAAACCAGAAGAACAGGGCTCAGATGAAGGTTGGGCTGCAGTCAATGCTTCAAGTACTAGGGGACAACTCTCTGGACCCATGAACTCATCATGTCCACGACCCCCTGATTTATTCCCTCATGGCCCTGGCTGTTCTGTCTACTCATTCCATGCCTAGGCACCACCACCATCATGCATGCTTCCACCTATACCCCTAGGTCTAACCTGCTGTACCTTCCTAGACTTCAGTCTCAGCTCCTCAGCAACCCCTTTCACATCCTGAGTAAGCTTGGTCTCTTAAATGTCTCTGATCATTAGTTTCTCCCCAGTGGAATTGGGTATAATAATCTCTTTCTCTCAATGTGGCCTTAGTAAATAATGTAGGAGAAAACACTTTGGAAATAAAGAGCTGTGTTCATATAATCAGGACCATGGCTCTTTGACTTTTATCTGGATCCTATTTCTCTAGGCCTGTCAAGCTTCCAATCATTCTCTAGTTCCTGGGAAAACAGAAATGAGGAAGAGGGTCCCATTTCTGATAACATGTTCCCTTTTGGAACCAGGCTGTAAGTAGTAGAAGAATCCTTGGAAAGCATGTTGGCTAAGCCACCTGATTTTATAAAGACAGATCTTATAGCTCTGGGTGAGTAAGTGACTTGCCCAAGATGATCACACAATCAATGACAGAGTGAATATCACAGTGTAAGTCTCCAACTCTTGTAATGCTCTTTCAAATTCCCCAGCCTAGCTCTAAGCCTTGTCCCTCCTAAGCCCCATATTCAGCCCAATCTGGTCCTTAAAAACAAGTGGTCACTGAGTTTCTTTCTAAAGCTTAAGAGGCAGAGGCTGGAGGATTACAAGTTGGAGGCTAGCACGGCATCTTAGTGAGTCCTTAACCTCAAAATAAAAATATAAAAAGTTGATGTAACTCAGTGGTACAGTGCTTACCTAGCACACATGAGGCCCTGGGTCCAATTCCTAGCACTGAAAGGAAAAAAATGTCCCTTTATCTCTCTCTTTTTTGAGATAAGGTCTTGCTGTGTAATTCCGGCTGGCCTTAGAAGTTCCTTTCTAGTACCACCTTTGAGGGCTTCATCAGAGCCAACTGCTGTTCTCTACTGTCTTTCTCTTTCATGTGCTATTGGCCCATATTGTCCCCTCCCTGCCCAGCATACAGAAGGCACTGTCTCCAGATGCCCCAATAGTGCTCTGAACTTAATCTATAGCCAACTGCTTTACTGCATATCACAGTGTCAGTGTATGTGTCTTCCTCATCACAATGTGTTCCTGGGAGCCAGGGATAACAGCTCAGCGGAGCAGTGCCTGACTGGCAAACACCAGGTCCTGATTTTTAAAAAAATTATTAAAAAAAAAAAAAAAGAATGTATGTTCCTTAATGATCTGCACCACCTTTGCCCAGCTTGGCACATTATGTGGTGCCCAATAAGTACGTTACACTGAACTGATTCAATCTGTCTTACCAGTAACTCCCATCCAAAACACCTACCTCTTTTCGAAGGTGGGTGATGATCTTGTGGGGTACTGAGATGACTTCTCTGTGGCTGGTCCGAAGAGCAGGCAGAGTTCCTGACATTGAGAAAGTATGGCCACCAGATCTTTAGTTGTCTTATTTATTTATGTATGTGTGTGCACTTATATATTTAAGTATGTGTGTGCACTTATGTATGTATATATTTATGTGGTAGTTCACGCTGGTCTTGAACTCATTATATGGTCCAGGCTGGCCTGGAACTTGCAGTGATCCTCCTACTTTGGTGCTGAGATTGCTATTCATACACATTTGTACCACATTCCTGCTTGTTTCCTGCTACTCCCCTTACACACTCCCTTCTTCACCCCCAGGGATACTGGATACCTGAAGGGCTTCGCCAGGGGTTGGTGATCTTGTGTACCTTGAGTGGAGCACCAGTAAATCTGGCATAGGTCTGCAGGGAAGGAAAGAGAAGACAGAAGAGCCAGGGAGCCAAAAGGAAAAATGTTTACTGAATATTTTATGTCATGCCTATGCTTAGCACCTTTGCACAAAAAAGAGACATTACTGTTCATATTTTACAAATGGGCAAAACAGAGCTCAGAAAGATTATGGACATGTCCATGATTACAAATAGGAAAACCCTGGGGCTGGGGATTTAGCTCAGTGGCATAAGCGCCTGCCTTGCAAGTAGGTAGTGGTGAGTTCAATCCCCAGTACTGATAAAACAAAACAAAAACAAATAGGAAAACCCTTCCTTATCTTTTCTCCTGCCATCTGTCTGAACACATAAGCTTTTCATAACTAGTACCCTCTTCTTGATAGCACTGATCATGGCCTTCTCTTTGACAAGATTCTATGGGCTATTCCTACTTCCTATATATGTTATATCTTAACACTTGAGCATGTTATTCAATGGTTACAAGTCTGCCTTTCCCTAAATAACTTTAGGGGAGAGAGCAAGTCTTATTCACTTTTTGCATGACAATGTTTGGTATTAAGGAGAAAGCCTAACATGTACTTTTCTTTGGTCTTTTTCCTTTTTATCGGTACCGGGGATCGAACTCACGACTGCCTGCTTCCAAAGCAGGCGCTTATGCCACTGAGCTAAACCTCCAGCCCCCGCCTAACATGATTTTAAAATCAAAGAGTGAATGTAGAGGTGATATGGATCAAGTCTGACTCCAAAACTCTTTCCACAGTCTGGCTGTGAATCTGGTCCAACAAATAGGCTCAATAAATGGTGTTTAAGTTAGGAGGAGGAAAAGGAGTGCTGAGAAGACAAGAAAGCCAAATCCCAAGGTCTCTGAGATCGTCCAGAAGGATTGCCCCAAGGTCACAAAAGTAGTAAATAGATAAACAAGGATATAATCTATCTCTCTAAACCCCTGGTCAAGCCTGTTTCCATTGACAGAATCCTAGGAAACCATGGCATAGGGCACTGAAACCGTATCTGTTCCAGGTCTTTGCCTCAGTTTCCCCCAGCACCGCCCGGCAAAGTTCCGATGCTCAGCTAATTTGGACTCCCTCCCCAGTCCTCTAGGACGCAACCAAGGACGCCGGCGCCACCCCTCACCAGCACGGCCAGACTGTCTAGGTCCACTGACGGCAGCCCCCAGCCCCCAGACCAGCAGAACAGCTCCATGGGCGCCGCCATCTTGCACGCCCTCTGCCCCGGAAGCATCTCTTCGAACGCTTCTGTCTTCTCCCGCGCGGTTCCGTCCCCAGCCACCGCCCCTCTGGAGGCTCCCGGCTGGGAGCAAGGGGAGGTCCCCGGGAAGGCACGGCTTTTCAGGGACTGCGATGCTGCGGGGTGACAGGAGGCGGGGCTGTGAGCCTCAGGGGAGGGTGACCGCTCGCCTATCCAGAGGCGGCTCCCCTAGGGTGTCCGGGCTGTAGGCCAGGGGCGCCTCAAAGAGCGGAGTCTCGAACCCCTGAAGACGATGTGCGCTTAGGAGACGGGAATCTTGGGCGCCTGGCCTTGTTCTGCGGGCTCCTGCCGAACTGCACGTGGCCTGCACTGCTCCGGAGTCATTCGGGGCTCGGCCCCGCAAGGGGGCTGCGGGGGGGGGGGGGTCCCCTGAGCCGCATGTTTTCCACTGCGCGTTATGTTTGGAGCCAGCCCTGTAGCCTGTCGCTATGGAAACAAAACAGGGGCGGTGGCGGCCGCGGCTGGAGCAGAGGCCCGGCTGGGGCCCGAGTGGGGGAGGGGAGGTGGGCTCGCGGACTGTTGCCTTAGTAACGGGAACTCTGGCGCCCCTCCGAGTTGTCCGGGTCACGGCCGGCCCACCGGTACCCACCGCGTTGCCCCAGTCTGGTCCTCGGCTCCTGGTTTTCTACTCTGTCCCTGGAGTCCTTTTCCTCTTGATTTCTTCGCTTCGACCTCACTGACCAGTGTTTTCGACTCTCAGTCCAGTTCTAATCGGACGCTTTCAGACTCCCAAGTTTTCCTAAGAATGAGGGAAAATGGAGAAACAGGCGCAAGTCAGGGAACCTCCACACTAATAAAGAGCACTTCATGCCAGAGCAGCGAACTTCATGCCTTGTGGGCATCCTCTGGGCACTATAGCAAGCTAGTTCCGGCCACTCCCTTGGCATCCTTTGCTGCCAGCTGAAGAATAATGCCCACTGTGTGGCCCATGCCAGGGGTTCCTACCTTTCCTCACTGTGGCTTCCAGAAAACAGTAGCATTTGGTCATGCTGTGTTGAGGCCCCCGATAGTGGGGTGATAGGGGAGAGGGAAACACCTGGGGTGAGGACCATTAGGGAGAAACAGAAGACTGGGAGGCCTCCAAGGCTTCTCAGTGCCCCTGGTTCCTCGGACTGGTGATGCCTCCAGGGTGATTGGCAGCTCTTTGTTTCAGCACACCCCCCCCCCGCCTGCTGGCCCCCCCCTCGACTCCCCCCTCCGTCCCTCCCCCCTCCTTCTCTCTCCGCCTAGCCTTTTCCCCTCCCAGCAGCTTGCCTGCCAAGGGTAGTGAGCCGGCTGAGCGGCATGGAGACACAGGAACTTCGGGGGGCCCTGGCTCTTCTCTTCCTTTGCTCTTTTGCATCTGCCAGTCAGGACCTGCAGGGTAAGCCTGTGTCCATCCTTTTAGACCCCATTTCGGCTTCTTCCCTATTTACTCCCAGTCCGGGTATTGGGGAACAAAAACAGGAGAGGGGAAGAGTACCGAAGTTGAGCTAGAGGGAAGAATTACACTTCCTGGAGTAGGTGAAATTATGGCATGATGAGGAGTGGGGACCAGAGAGTGGTGGCTGAGTAGTACTGGCCAGGGTCAGGGATGAGGCCAGAGTGGTGAGTTTGGAAGCTGATAGGGCTGCCTGGCTGGGCTGGCATCAAAGCATCTCAGGGTCTGGGAGAGCAGCCTGAAGGTGGGTGCACAGTGTGGGTCCCTAGGCTTGGTCCCCTTTCTCTCCAGGCTCCTAGCCCTCAACGACAGGATGGGGGGTGGAGACTGAAGGGTCTGGCGCTCCCGGAGGTCTAGCTGTGGGATGGGCCCTTGGGTGTGGGAGAGGTAGCTGGAGCAGATGACACAGGCAAAGATTCTTTGCTGACTGGAGGAGAAACCACAGTTTGGCCAGGACACAGGAGGCAGAGGAGCTAGGTCCTACTTTCCACTGGGGTGGGGGAAGTTCCACAGGTGGGAGGGTCAAAGCCCTCAGTGGGCAGCTGTTCTCATCCAAATGAGTGTGCTGAGCCCCTAGATGGGAGGAGGGGCATCACGGTGTGAAATGAGCCAAACCCGGGGATGGAGAGAGAAGCTGCCTCTCATTTCTGTGCTATGGGCACCAGGTGCCACTCCTGACTATCTCCACATTGTGTCTCTTGCGCCACCTGGTGGTGGCATCTCAAGTTTGTGGTGTGGTTTTTGAATTTCAAAGCCACAGTCCTGCAGGTTCTCAGAGGGATGGGTAGGCAATAATGAGGGAAGAGAAAGGCTCACTGCTTCCATTATTGGATAGCAAAAAAAGGCTGATTTCTGAGAAAGTGATTTGTTACCTGGTGGTGGGGTAGTGTGGTTATTGGGTGCTGCAACCCTGAAGGCTCAGGGGAGAGTCCAGGCCTTAGCATTTGATTCTATTCTCTTGTCTGGTCAGTAATTGATCTCCTGACTGTGGGAGAGTCCCGGCAGATGGTAGCTGTGGTAGAGAAGATCCGGACAGCCCTACTCACTGCTGGGGACATCTACCTCTTGTCTACCTTTCGCCTGCCTCCCAAGCAAGGTGGTGTCCTCTTTGGACTGTACTCTCGCCAAGATAACATACGATGGCTGGAGACCTCTGTTGTGGGCAAGATCAACAAAGGTGACTTTGAGCGTCTCTTTCCTGTCCCAGTGAATCCCACAAACCTGAGCACTTTTATCCCCACTCTTATTTCTCCTTGACCTCCATTAGGGATCATGGGCCCATTAGGCTGTGCCCAGGTATGCCAAGGGCATGTGTAGGGTGTGCTTAAGTCAGGAGGCCAGGTAACCAAACAGTATTTGTAGGGATGGGAGAGGTTGGGTAGAGGTCAGTTGTAGAGCACTTGCCCAGCATGCTTGAACCCTGACTTCAATCCATTGCATTGTGGGGGTGAGGGAGATGTAGGGATAGGAGGTTGTATTTGGGGATGCCCATTGGGAAGTCTGTGCCCTAGCAGTGATGGAATCACTGAGTACAGAACTAGCTATAATCTTGGGAGAGTATAAAGTAATCAGATTTATTGAAGACTAAGAAACTCCTAGTCTCTAAGTCAATTTGAAAATATTTATTCTATACCTAACATGGTACATGGTGTTGAGAAATGCAATTGAATTAGGGGTGGTAGCTTTAGAGATGTGGTATTTGGAAGAGTTGAGCTAATCCTCAAGGGAAACATGGGATGGGGGACAGTGCACATACTGACTCCCTTCCTGGACAGTACTGGTGCGGTACCAGCGGGAGGATGGCAAAGTCCACGCAGTGAATCTACAGCAAGCAGGCCTGGCTGATGGGCGCACACATACAGCTCTCTTGCGGCTCCGAGGTCCATCCCGGCCCAGCCCCAGCCTGCAGCTCTATGTGGACTGCAAACTGGGTGACCAGCACACCGGCCTTCCAGCCCTGGCCCCCATCCCCCCAGCGGAGGTCAGTGGGATGGAGATTAGGACTGGTCAGAAGGCTTATTTGAGGATGCAGGTGAGCAGGAAAGACCCTTAGTTCATAGCAAGGGGGGAAGTAAATGGTAGATCCTTGCACCTTACCTGCTGTCCCCCCAGGGCTTTGTGGAATCGATGAAAATTATTCTGGGCGGGTCCATGGCCCGGGTAGGAGCCTTGAGTGAGTGTCCATTCCAAGGGGACGAGTCCATCCACAGTGCAGGTAACAGAGGCTCCCGTTAGCTGGCCTTGGACCATAGTCCTGTGGTCTTTGATGACTCCTAACCTTTGCCCTCTTCCCCCAACACCTATTTCTCTAGCTCACCTAATCCTGGGGCTTCTGATCCCATTGCCCCCAGTCTTTCTTCTCTGGTCTCCTATACAGGAGGTATGGGTCAAAAATATCTCCCTAAACCACATGTGATGGTCTCAGCACTCTGAGATGTTACAGGAGAGAATTGCAAATTCAAGCCCAATTTGGGCAATTTAGCTAGACCCTGTTTTTAAAATATAAAAGGGGGCTTTGGCTTGGTGGTGCACACCTGTAATCCCAGCACTCAGGAGGCCGAGGCAGGAGGATTTGCTGTATGTTTGAGACCAGCCTCGGCTACAAAGTAAGTTCAAGGCTAGCCTGGACTGTGTAGTGAAACCCTCAAAGGCAACACACACATACACTGGGGATATAGCTCAGTGGTGCACATGCTTACCTGGCAAGCATGAGGTTGTGAGTTCAATCGCCAGTACCAAAAAGAAAAAAAAATGATGTGCAAAGGCTCTGAATTCTATCCCAGTGCCACCATAAACCAAAAGCCCCATGTAGGTCATGCCACCTACCAGATCATTCTATCTTTCTGGGTTGCCAGAAAGATAGTGATCTAAGAGAAAACTGTAACACTGGACTTTTAGGGGATAGAGGGGAGGGAAGGTAATTGCTTGGTCTTGGCTGAGATCCTAGTCTCAAGGTCTTTTGTACTTCCCATGACAGCTGGCACATACTAGCAGTGTCTGTCAGCATATCCCATCAGCTTGGCTTCTGACAGGGATGCTCAGAGACTGCCATCTAAGTCACACCAACTTCTCCCCGATCTTTCAAAGGAACTGGATGCTTGGGAAGGCAGGAGGGAGGAAGTGGAATGCATTGGGGGGCCTGGTTCTGCTTGGTGACCTGTCACCTGACTCCTTCCACCATAATCATACTTGGGAACTAGGGTTTGGGTTTTGATGTCCCATGAGGCAGCTCCTTGGAGGATTCCTAGCCCCGTGGTGGGGCACTTGCCTAATACACACAAGTTCCTGGGTTCAGTCTCCAGCATAGGCAGGGGGAGCTGCTGCCTGTCACCTCTGCCCTACCTTGCAATACTCTGAGGCTCCAGTCCTGCCTCCATCCCCCTCTCCCTCGTTCCCTCTTCAGCAGGTGCCCCCTTGATCATGTTTTCTTCTCTTCTCTAGTGACCAGTGTGCTGCAGTCCATTCTAGGTGAGTAGACCACCAGGAGGTGGAAGGGAATAGGGTGGCAAGGAGGCCTCAGGCTTTGGCAGCTTCCTGGAACTAAGCCTTTTTAAAAGATTCGGAGTAGGTGGCAGTGACATGAGCTGGCTCATCACCTGCCCATGGAAGAGCTAGGGCTTATTGCCCCAGTTGTGATCCTCTCCATACTCCAACAGGGGAACAGACCAAGGCGCTGGTCACCCAACTCACCCTCTTTAACCAGATCCTGGTGGACCTGCGGGATGATATCCGAGACCAGGTATGGGTGGGCCAGCCACAGGTGATACTGACTCTGATTGGGTGGCAGATGTGAGGGCTGACTACCCCCTGCCCTTCAGGTGAAGGAGATGTCCCTGATCCGAAACACCATCATGGAATGTCAGGTGTGCGGTGAGTGGGAGAGCAGGGGTGGGCTCCGGAGAGCAGTGTTAGGGCCTCCCCTGACAATGGTTTGAATGACCTCTGGGTGGCTCTGACTCTGCCCACCTCCCAGGCTTCCATGAGCAGCGTTCGCACTGCAGCCCCAACCCCTGCTTCCAAGGTGTGGACTGCATGGAAGTGTATGAGTACCCAGGCTACCGCTGTGGACCCTGTCCCCCGGGCCTGCAGGGCAACGGCACCCACTGCGCGGACATCAATGAGGTGGGGAGGGCAGAGCCCACAGAATGCAGAAAGCTGGGGTGAGGAGGTCAGGAGGGAGGGGTAAATGTTGGTTGGAAGCAAAAGAATCTGAGGCTTAGGAGAGGTCAGAGAGCAGCAAAGTGAAACTGGAGGGAGGCACGTGGGAGGTTTTGCAGGGAAGAAGCTGGGGGAGTGGCAGAGAAGTCAGAGATGGTGGGAGGAAATGGGAAAGGCGCGGAGCAACCCAGGGAGAAGCTGGGGCAGGGGGCAGGAGCTGTGCAGCTGTGTGGGGACAACTGCAGAGGAAGAACACGAGGGATGGTTTAGGGACTTCCCCTTGGGCCTGACCTCTGCATTCTTATCTGGCCCCCAGTGTGCTCATGCTGAACCCTGCTTCCCTGGCTCCAGCTGCATCAACACTATGCCTGGCTTCCACTGTGAGACCTGTCCTCGAGGGTATAAGGGCACCCAGGTGTCTGGTGTGGGCATCGACTATGCCCGGGCCAGCAAACAGGTCAGGCTGGGTAGTTAGTGTGGCCATGCAGTTTGGGGCTTGTAGAGGTCAAGGGCTTCTGGGTTGGACATGGGACCTTTGTGATTAATGGGGTGAGGCCTGCTTTGTACTGGGTTTGGATCTGAGCTTATTAGTGCTTACAGATAAGGCCACACCAGTGCCTCTGTCTGGAGAAGCACCACAGGGTTGGTTCCACCCAGAGTCTGTCCCTTTAGGTCTGCAGTGACATCGATGAATGCAATGATGGTAACAACGGTGGCTGTGACCCAAACTCCATCTGTACCAACACTGTGGTGAGTAGAACACCTTGTGTGTGTCTAGGTGGGTGATACTATGTAACGCTCTCTTCACATTTGCTGCTGCCTGTGCTTCTTCCCTAGGACACTACATATAGTAGGTATTCACATGGACCTGGCTGCAAATTCTGGTTTCAGGTTTTTACTAGCTATGACCTTTAGCAAGTCATTTAGACTTTTTGAGCCTCAACTTCCTCACTTGAAAAGTGGGGCTATTTACCTGCCTTGAAGGGTAGCTCCTGAGCACCTAAAGAAGATATATACCTGGCACGCCTGTGAGTGCCCATCCTATTCCTCACAGGCAGGCAGTGATGGTCCAGAGTACCCAGCAGGTGCCCACTCCTTCCTAACTGCACTTTTCACCCTTAGGGATCTTTCAAATGTGGGCCCTGCCGATTGGGTTTCTTGGGCAATCAGACACAGGGCTGCCTCCCTGTGAGGACCTGCCACAGCCCAGCCCACAGCCCTTGCCATGTTCACGCTCACTGTCTCTTTGAACACAACGGTGCAGTGTCCTGCCAGGTGAGCTGAGGCTGGAGCTTAGAAGGAAAAGGGAAGAGGCTGGGGCACAGAGGAAGGTTGGTGAGCATGTTTAGGGCTTGGGCTGAGGACCTCCATGGGAAGCAGGAGTGCTAACTTCCGCCATTTGTGTTGTTCCAGTGTAACGTGGGCTGGGCAGGGAACGGGAACGTATGTGGGCCTGACACGGACATCGATGGCTACCCAGACCAGGCGCTGCCCTGCATGGACAATAACAAACATTGCAAGCAGGTGCAGGGCTTGGGGGCCAGTGTGGTAGGGAGCCCCAGGCTGGCTCTGGCCAGAACTCATATGTCTTCTTCTTCCCCCTGACTTTAGGACAACTGCCTTTTGACACCCAACTCTGGGCAGGAAGATGCTGATAATGATGGTGTTGGGGACCAGTGTGACGATGATGCTGATGGGGATGGGATCAAGAATGTTGAGGTGATTCCCAGACTGTCCTGTCTCTTGTGTTGTCTGTTTCTCTCACTGTAGCTCATATTCCTGCCTCTGCAATGTCCGTGGCCATTCTGTAGAAAGGGCCCTAGAACACCAAACTAAGGCAGCCCAAACCTGGGGCCTAGAACAAGGCAATTGTCATGGGATGGAAATCTTTACAAGGAAGTTTTGGGGGACCCCTTACCCCTCCCTCTCAACTCTTTGCCCAGGACAACTGCCGACTGTTAGAACAAGGCAATTGTCATGGGATGGAAATCTTTACAAGGAAGTTTTGGGGGACCCCTTACCCTTCCCTCTCAACTCTTTGCCCAGGACAACTGCCGACTGTTCCCCAACAAGGACCAGCAAAACTCAGATACAGATTCATTTGGTGATGCCTGTGACAACTGCCCCAATGTTCCCAACAATGACCAGAAGGACACAGATGGCAATGGAGAAGGAGATGCCTGTGACAATGACGTGGATGGAGATGGTGCGGTCCTGGGGTTGTAGGGGTGGCTGGGAGACCTGTGTGAATTAGCAGAGGTGAGGATGAGGCAGGGAGTCTGAGGAAAGTGGGGAGGTATGCTTGTGGGAGTTGGCCTGGCAGGGGGACATCACTCACAGCAGATATTGATAGAAACGTGAGGCAGGAAGTAGGGGTGAGCAGGATGTGGGAGAGAGGATGGGACAAGGTGGAAGGTTGACTTTTGACTAATTGTGCTCTGGGTGAAGACACAAAACTCAGAGTTTTTACTAACATAGAAAAGAATATGAAAGACATAATAACAATTTTGTGCTTCCCACATGTCTTCTAGGTATCCCCAATGGATTGGACAATTGCCCTAAAGTACCCAACCCACTGCAGACAGACAGGGATGAGGATGGGGTGGGAGATGCTTGTGACAGTTGCCCTGAGATGAGCAATCCTACCCAGGTACAGAGGAATGTTGAGGGTAGGGGAAAAGTAAGGAGACTGGGTTGTCAGGTTACTCTGAGTTATCAAGAAGGGTTGATGAGGGGCTGGGGATTTAGCTCAGTGGCATAAGCACCTGCCTTGCAAGTGTGTGGTCGTGAGTTCGATCCCTGGTACCAATAAAAAAGAAAAAGACAAAAAAAAAAGAAGGGTTGATGGAACAGGGTGTGGTGGCACATGCCTGTCATCCTAGCACTGATGAGGCTGAGGCAGGAGGATCACTGGGAGTTCAAGGCCAGCCTGGGCTACAAAATGAGTTCAAGACCTGTCTGACCTGCACAGTGAAACCCTCTAAAAACAAAACAAAACAAAAAAAGAGATAGTGGGAGTTGGGTGTGATGGTGCACACCTGTAATCCCAGTACTCTGGGAAGCTGAGGCAGGAGGATCACAAATTGAAGCCAAGCCTGGGCAATTTAGGGAGATCTTGTCTGTGAAATAAAAAAATATATATTAGAAAAGAAAATGGTGAGATCAGGCCCCTTTCTCTTAGACAGATGCAGACAGTGACCTGGTGGGGGATGTCTGTGACACCAATGAAGACAGGTAAGGTCTTTTAAGGGGGTTTACTTTCCTGTAATCATTCTTAATTCTCTCTGTGGTTAGCCTTGATTCTATAGCACTTTTGAGCAGAAAGTCATTCACATAGTCTGCCTTCCATTCCTATGGCTGGACCTGTACCACATCTGGCTAAAGGCCCAGGGTGTGCTGGGACGAGAGCAGGTTTCAGAGATTCCTAAGCAGGGGAGAGATGGAGGTACCTTTCAGCCTTATCTGCTGCCTGTTTTTCTGAGCAGTGATGGGGATGGGCATCAGGATACCAAGGACAATTGCCCACAGCTGCCCAACAGCTCCCAGCTGGACTCAGACAATGATGGACTTGGAGATGAGTGTGATGGAGATGATGACAATGATGGTATCCCGGATTATGTGCCTCCTGGTCCTGATAATTGTCGTCTGGTACCCAATCCCAATCAGAAGGACTCAGATGGTAAAGCTGGGGCCCCAGAAGAGTTGACTGTATGGCTTTGTTTGGGGCAGCAGCAGGGGGGTGTAGAAGGTCAGGGTGGGGAGAGGTCAAGAAGACAATATCCACAAGGTGACAGTGTTTGCCAGTAGCATTGGCCACAGCCTTTCTGAGCATCTAGCTTCACTTTACGCAGGCAATGGCGTTGGTGATGTATGTGAGGATGACTTTGACAATGATGCAGTAGTTGATCCCCTGGATGTGTGTCCTGAAAGTGCAGAAGTAACCCTCACAGATTTCCGGGCCTATCAGACTGTTGTTCTGGATCCTGAGGGTGATGCTCAGATTGACCCAAATTGGGTTGTGCTCAATCAGGTACTTAGGGCACTGGGATGGGGGCCTGTTGGGGTAGTACACCACCAGGTTTTTGGACCAGGGTTTTGTTCTTTATTTAACAATTTCAGGGCATGGAAATCGTTCAGACTATGAACAGTGACCCTGGCCTCGCAGTTGGTATGTAAGGGACGGCCAGTTCAATAACTTCCAAATGGAAGTATCCTACAGGGACAGAGGGCAGGGGAGGAAGTGGATGAAGAGGATGGGCGCAGGCAAGTGAGAAGGCAGTGGGGCAATCTGGCCACACGTACAGCACACACCGTCACAGTGAGCCAAGAGTAACCTTGCTGCCTCTAACCTTTATCCCACCCCCACCCTAGGATACACAGCTTTCAATGGTGTGGACTTCGAAGGCACCTTCCATGTGAACACAGTTACTGATGATGACTATGCAGGCTTTCTCTTCAGTTACCAGGACAGTGGCCGCTTCTATGTGGTCATGTGGAAGCAGACGGAGCAGACTTATTGGCAGGCCACACCTTTCCGGGCTGTTGCCCAGCCCGGGCTGCAGCTCAAGGTCTCCTAGCTGCCCAGTTTCCTCAACCCAGGGGCCTTTCCTAAGTTCTTCCCATCCAACCCCTGGGCCTCCCCCATGGCCTACCTGGGAACCCTCTTACCCAGAGGTCTGACCTGAAAGTTGATTCTTGGGCTTCAGAAAAATTCTCCTGACCTTCTTTGACTTGCTTTCCCAGTGGTATTTATGAACTTGTCTCCCTTCACTATGATCCCATGGTTGACTCACTGTGTTTGCCAATGATTCTCAGGCAGTGACATCAGTGTCTGGCCCAGGTGAGCACCTGCGGAATGCCCTGTGGCATACTGGTCACACTCCTGATCAGGTACGGCTGCTGTGGACTGACCCACGAAATGTGGGCTGGCGTGACAAGACCTCCTATCGCTGGCAGCTACTGCACCGGCCTCAAGTTGGTTACATTCGGTGAGAAGAGAGCCTGCACCCTCTGGGGGCACTCTAGCCTGGGGCCTTTCCTTTCCCAATAGCTGGGACTCACCAGGGACCTTACCTCTGTTCCACTTCTTGGAAGTAGGAGAGTAGGCCACTTCCCTCCACCTCCCTTCTCATTAAGGCAAGATAACCTGTGGGTAGTGTTGGGCACAGTCAAGCCTCCTCTGTGCTGTACTTCGACTCTGTAAAACATGGGCATTGAGCTAGCTGCCCTTTCCAGTTCCCGCGAGCCTCCTAATCCCAGGCCCATCTGTAGAGGGCCCATGTTTCCAATCTGTGAGGTGGTACTGCCCAGAACCTGCTTCATCAGCATCTGACCTAAAAGGGATCATCAACATTTACGAGTGACAAACCAAGGCTAAGATCTCACAGGCCTCTCAGTTTAGTACTTGGTCTACAACTTTGAATTTGCTTCCCTTGAGGGTCCCTAGTTAGTTGGGGGTGACTTGGGCAGGGAGGGGAAGTGGGTCTGCTCAGAAGCTGGACTTTCTAGGGGCAAGAGCCTGGTCCAGGGCATTGGGTTGGTTCTCCTTTAAGGTGCCTGGGGCTGTGGGGTGCCAGGGCAAGGGATAAAGGGGGTGGACTAGAGCCTGGGAAGCGGGTGACTTCACCCCCCAGCCCATTGTGTTCATCGTCATGGCAACCCAATCCTCGCTAGGAATTCGGCTGATGCTTTGAGATGCAAAAGGAGCCGCACAAAGAGCTAGGGGCCCCAGGCCTGAGAAAAACACCCCCTTCCCTCCCCTTTCTCTCTCCCTCCTCTCAGGCCTGGTGAGCTGGGGAAGGGGGTGGCTGGGATGAGCAGGGCCCAGGACAAGATGGCACAGTGCCCACTGGCATTTAGCACCAACGGACACCCCTATCCTGGACAGGGTGAAGCTCTATGAGGGTCCCCAACTAGTAGCGGACTCTGGGGTGATCATTGACACATCCATGCGAGGGGGGCGTCTCGGTGTATTCTGCTTCTCCCAAGAAAACATCATTTGGTCCAATCTCCAGTATCGGTGCAATGGTGAGGCTCTACACCAAGACCAGCCTGACCCCTCGTGTCCTGGGAGAGCTACCGTCTGACCTTATTCATTTCCCTTCTTCAGACACAGTACCTGAGGACTTTGAGCCATTCCGGAGGCAGCTGCTCCAGGGACGGGTGTGAGGAAATGGCCACCGGATTCAGAATCCTGACTTTAGACCCTTTGGCCTCGGGGTCCATCCTGGAGACCCTGAGATCTAAACCACAGCCCCTCAGCCAAACAGATCCTCCTCCTCTGAGTGCAATAGGAGTTAAGCCCCAGAGGGTTAGTGTCCCACTATTCGGGGCTTGGGAAATTTTCAAGGGGTATTACTCAGGAACCAACCCCAGGAAAGATAATAGCACATTGCCATAAAGTTTCAGTTGTTTTCTATGTCAGTGCAATTGCTTATTTTAAGGATTTTTCGGGATAGCGTGGGAAACAGGAAGGAACCTGATGGGGGAAGAGAGAAATGCTGGTAAATTGAAAGTTAGAGATTTGGAGAAAGTTTGGCTGAGTTTGGGGTGGGTGGGAGAGGTGCTAGATGGTAATAAATGAAGGATGAGGAGGTACTGGTGACAGAGTAGCTAAAGTCCTCCCAGTCCCACTTACTCACGGTGGTGGTAGTAGTGGTGTCGACACTCCAGATTATCTTAGATCAGCCGGATCGAAAGCCAGGAGGGCGGGGGGTGGGGGGGCTGCCCCGCTCAGGGTGAAGGGGAGGCCGGGGGGCCGAGGAGGCCGGAGGCCGGGACGAGTGCAATATTGGTGGGGGAAAGAACAACACTGCACCGCGTCCCGTCCCTCCCGCCCGCCCGGGGCCCGGAATCCCGCTCCCCACCCACTTTAGCCCGCAGGGCCCAAGGACCCAGAGCGCTCAAGGGAGCAGGGTTCACCTTAGAGGCCGGCCAGACACTCAGTGCCCGGAGCGGTGAAAGGGACAGTAAGCGGGAGGGATGAAAGAAGGGAAGACCGTGGCGCCCCTAAAGGCCGCTTTCCGACTCAGGGGCGGTGCGCGTTTGCTCTTTAAATATTCAGACTGAGCTCCTTGGAGCCGTCGCCATGGTAATGCGTGTCCCAGCAACCGAAGTGAATGGCTGTTGCCTGGCAACTCCTGAAGTAGAAGTTTGGGGCCGCCCACCTGTATACTAGCGCTTTCTGCCGCGGCTGACTCGGGCCTTCCCCGCCTTCAGCCCCGCGCACTAATGCCTAGCGCCCCCTGCCCGACGCCTGAAGCCCGAAGCTGAGCCTCTGATGCTGTGTCGTGCCGCGCCCGATTAGTTTATAAAATGTATTGGTTGGGGCCACGAACTGATTGCCCAGCACAGTTGTAACTGCTGTACTGGCCCCTAGACCGTAACACGGGGCCGCTGGACCCAACCTGGTGCCCTGTATGTGCCCCACTGTCCAGAATACTTCACTGTCCCCATATATTTGCCCTTAAGAATACCTATCGTTTTCCCCAATATACACATCCCTACGGTTTTGTTCTCCACCATGAACGTACCTGCCCCAACTACCACTACCTACTACTGTTTTCCCACAAAGGATAGTTCTGTGCCCCAAAATTCCATTCTGTCGCCTCGCCTACTGTCTGTCTCCTAAATATGCACTGACCTCCAAAACCTGTCTCATCCCCACTCTCGCATTCCGATGTCCCCTCCCATAAACCCCAAGTCCTACACATACCTCAGGACCCCACCCACTTAGCACTATTTCCTTCAGACAGCACCCCACGCTGCTCCTTCCTCTTCGTTGTCCAAAGCGTCAACTCCTTCGCCATGGACCGACCTCCCCAAGGCCTCCCTATCGCCATTTGGGCTGCATCGCCGACCTCTCCACACCATTGGGGCAGCCCCTCCGCGCGCGCCAGTGGCCAGTGATGTTGCCTGTGGCCACGAGGGGGCGAGCGCTCCCGCATAGCGTACCTAGCTGGCCACCGCTCAAGGTGCAGAGTTGGGAAGGAAGAGCCTCAGGGTTCGGCAGAGGTCAGGTTTTGTCCTCTTTAAGTGGAAACTTCCTCCCACCCGGGACGAAAGCCAACGAGGGAACCTAGGCTGCTGGAGAGTCCAGCCGGGGCGGGGACTGCGGATTTCAGGGTAGAGCTGCGCGTGGAAGGGACAGGGAGCGGTTCCAAGGTGGGGCGATTCCAGGAAGTGGCGCACAGGGGGCGGGGGCTGGGGGGAGTTTAGAACTGGCTACTCATCCACTCATTGTTAAGCCCTCTTATCCCAACTCAGCCCTCAGAGTAGGGCTCCAAAGGTCCCAAGAAAATAGGGGAGTGGAGCACATCTAGGGTGGGCTTCCTGGCTTTGCGGTCCCGGGCCTTGACCACCCAATCTCTCTCTCTCTCTCTCTGTCTCTCTCTGCTCCCAGTCTTCACCTTAGCTGTTGTCCAGGGGCGAAAGTGGAGCAAGGGCCCCAAATCTCAGACTCCCTACTTCCCCCTTCTGGAGTCAGGGAGTGGCTGATGAAAGGGGGGAGGCCAGTTGCAGAGCAAACAGGTTGTCAGAAGGTTGACTGATTGGAGCCCACATACCTTACCCAGGAATGGGGGAGGAGGAGGAAAAAGTAGGAGGTAGAGAAGGGGGGAAGGGGCGGGGCGTTGTCACCTGTCACCTGCTCCGGCTGTGCCTAGGGCAGGAGGGGGGGACCGGTATAAAGCAGCAGGCACCAGTGCTGCTCCACCTCACACACCAAGTGCTGAAGTGCCAGCCCCAGCCTGCTCTGCTCCCGCCGGTTCACCACCACCATGACACCGGGCACTCAGGCCCCCTTCTTCCTGCTGCAGCTACTCCTGGTGCTTACAGGTGAGGGGCACAGGTGGGGAGGGTTCTACCCTGCTCACATAGTCTTCCTGGCCTTTCTTTGGATTTGGTTTCCTGGCCAATGGCACCTCCAGCGTCAAAAGCTGCAAACAAGGGTGGCTTGGCCTGTGGCCAAATGGAGAGAAGCTGAGGACAGGCTGAGAAGAGGTGGTCCCCAAGAGAGGGGGCATCAGAGAGGGGAAGGCAAATGTCCTGAAGAGAAGTCTAGGGGAAGTAACTCAGGAAAGGTAGTTGCCGGGCAGAGGCAACTCTGTGGGAAGAGAGAAGGTAGCTGCCAAAAAGAAGGGCAGACCCTGGGGCTGCTCACACCGCCTGTTTCCCAAGCCTCCTGGTATTGTTTTTTTGTTGCCAGAGGTTGTATTTTCTCTTTGCTCTGATTTGCTCTCCAACCCAATGGCTCCTACAACTTCTGGCCCTTCTTAAAGCAGAAAAACAAATTTTGGCTACCCAAAGCAACCCAGTGCCCAACCATTAAGAGCAGTGTTAGAGTATGACTAGTAGTTTACTCCCCATCCTCAGTCCTAGTTCAGGCTCTGCTGCCATTCCAGGCCAGAAGAATGTCCTCATCTTATCTCAGAGCACCTCAAGCTCAGCTACCACTCCAGGCTATGGTGTCAGCTCCACTATAACCACCAGGGCTTCTACATCAGAGTCAGCCACCCCCAAAGTTCATGCCAGCACTTCAGCCCCAGCCACCACCAACTCTCCAGAAGCGGTCACCTTTACAGTCCACCGTGGCACCTCAGCACCAGCTATAACTAACTCTACAGAAGTCGCCACCTCTACAACCTACCATGGCACCTTGGTCACAGCCACCAGTTCTGCAGAACTGGCCACCCCTACACTGCATGATGGCACCTCAGCACTAGCTACCACCAACTCTTCAGAAGTGGCCACCCCTACAGTCTACCATGGTACCTCAGCACCAGCTACCACCAACTCTTCAGAAGTGGCCACCCCTATAGTCCACCATGGTACTTCAGCACCAGCTACCACCAACTCTACAGAAGTGTCCACCCCTACACTCCATGATGGTACCTCAGCACCAGCTACCACCAACTCTTCAGAAGTGGCCACCCCTATAGTCCACCATGGTACTTCAGCACCAGCTACCACCAACTCTACAGAAGTGTCCACACCTACAGTCCACCATGGTACCTCAGCACCAGCTACCACCAGCTCTACAGAAGTGTCCACCCCTACAGTCCACCATGGCACCTTGGTCACAGCCACCAGTTCTGCAGAAGTGACCACCCCTACACTCCATGATGGCATCTCAGCATCAGCTACCACCAACTCTTCAGAAGTTTCCACCCCTACAGTCCACCATGGCACCTCAGTCACAGCCACCAGCTCTACAGAAGTGGCCACCTCTACAATCCACCATGGTACCTCAGCACCAGCGACCACCAGCTCTATAGAAGTAGCCACCTCTACAGTCCACCACAGCACCTCAGTCATAGCCACCAGCTCTACAGAAGTAGCCACCTCTACAGTCCACCATGCTACCTCAGCACCAGCTACCACCAGCTCTACAGAAGTGGCCACCTCTACAATCCACCATGGCACCTCAGCTACAGCCACCAGCTCTGCAGAAGTGGCCACCTCTACACTTCATGATGGCACCTTGGGCCCAGCTACCAACTCTATATCAGGCTCAGCCACCACTCCACCTCACAATAGCTCCTCTGCTGTGGCTACTACAACCTCAGTTAACATGGATACTACATTGTCATTTCCCAGCTACCAGTCTTCTGCTTCTGCCACACTTGCCAGCCCCAGCAGTGGGACAATTGCCAGTAGCACTAACCACAGCACAGTACCTCCCTCCACTTCCTCCAGTCATTCTCCTCAGCCATCTGTCATGGTCTCTTTCTTCATTCTGTCTTTTGAGATTTTGAACCTCTCATTTAATTCTTCTCTGGAAAATCCCAGCACCCGCTACTATCAAGAGCTGGAGAGGAACATTACTAGATTGGTGAGTATCTGCCTTTCCTCTGCTGTGCTCCTTTAAAGCAGCCTTTGGGGCTGCTTGAATCCTTTGCATTAAAGTTGAGTCCTTTCTCTCTCACTTTAGTTTTTGCAGATTTATCAACAAGATTTTCTGGGCCTCTTGAATATCAAGTTTAGGTATGGCTCTGGGTGGGACTCTGTGTGTGCTGGCTGTTGTCTGGGTGGGACTCTGTGTGCGGTGTTGTCATGATATTGCGAAGGGAGGCTACATTTGTGGTTGGGGGGAAATGCTGAGAAAGAGACTAAAATGTGCCTGAGTTGCTTATTTCCAATGACCAGGCCAGGATCTGTGGCAGTGGAATCAACTGTAATCTTCCGGAAGAATGCTGTTAATGAAGAGTTCGTGAAGTCACAACTCACTCAGCGAAAAGAAGATGCAACAAGATACAATTTGGTCATCTCAGAAGTCAGTGGTGAGGCTCTATCCCCAGCTGCAGCCCAGCACCAAGCAGCATCCCTTTTCCTCTACCACTGGGTTCCTGCTCTTTGTGGTGTTGTTAATGGAAGGAGACTGTCCTGACCACTGCTTTTCCTTTTAGCACGTGAGGTACAGGTTACTTCTTCCACTGCCCAGTCTGGGGTACCAGGCTGGGGCATCGCTCTGCTGGTGCTGGTCTGTGTTCTGGTCCTGCTGGCCATTGTCTATTACATTGCCCTGGTGAGTGCTTGGGCTTGGGCCTTCACCGGAGTCCCTGGCAGGGAAGGAATCCCATGACCCATTGTAACCTCCTGTATTCTTAGGCTATGTGTCAGTGCCGCCGAAAGAGCTACGGGCACCTGGACATCTTTCCAACACGGGACACCTACCACCCTATGAGCGAATACCCCACATACCACACCCATGGGCGTTATGTGCCCCCTGGAAGCACCAGGCGCAGCCCGTACGAGGAGGTGAGGCTGGGCCTCATGGGCCAGGGTTGGGACGGTGCTGGGATAGAGGCCCTGATCAAGCAGGTATCCTGGATAGGTATTTGGAAAACCCAAGGAGCTTGGAAGAGGTGAACTGTGGAGGTGAAGGTGGAGGTGAGAGTGGTTTTGGGAGTCAGACCTGGGGAGGACACTGTGGAAGAAAGGGGACCTTGGAGCAAGCACTTACACTGTTAGTACTGTTAGTGTTGCCTGGGCCTGTCCACTTTTACCTCTGGCTGAACTGGCACCAGAGAGGTGCTCATTAGGATGCCCTGAGGAAAAATGGGTGGGGCACTGTGGCCAGGGGAGCCCTTCCCACAGGAGTCACAAGGGGTGACACTACCTGTGCCCCACTCACCTCTTAGGCAGGAAGCAGATAGGGAAGTTGGGAGCTTTCTCCACAGTCTAAGAAGTCTGGTCAAGCCAGGTGAGCAAGGACCCCTCCCTCCTTCCTCTCCTGGCCTTCTCTCCAGGACCTGGTAAATAATTGCTACACCACCTGGGGCTGAAGAGTCACTCAGGTGGGGGAGGAGAGAAGTTTCGTTTTCTTGCCCCCATTTTCCTCTTCCTGGGGATCATCCTCTCAGTGTTACACACACACACACACACACACACACACACACACACACACACACACACAGCACGCGCACTTTGTGTTAGAGGAGCAAGAGATAGAGGCAGAAAGAGGCAGGAAGAGTGGACAGGGGAGCTGAGTAGACCAAGGGCAGGGAGAGGAGGGGAGGAGCAGCCTGTTTATAGTCACCTGGCTGCTGGTGGGGCGGGCAGGTGCTCTTTCTCAGTTAACCCCTTGAGAGTGGGCTGGGCCCCTAGATACCATACCTCAGCCTAGCAGGTAGTTTTCTGCCCCTCACCCCAGGCGCTTTTTCTCTCCACCCAGGTTTCTACAGGAAATGGCGGTGGCAGCCTCTCTTACACGAATCCGGCAGTGGCAGTCACTTCTGACAACTTGTAGGAGCTGGTCACTGCTTGGTGGCAGGCAGAAGTGTCAGTCTCAGGTTCTTCGCTGCCAAAGCTCCTTCCACTCGGATCCGGGCTGGTGATCTGGGAGCTAAGGTGGGCTGCTCATAGCTTTTCCAAGAGGCTCTGCCAAGCCTCCTACCCATCTTACTTAGCCTGGTGAAGCCCAGCCCTGCTCTAGGGAAGATGCCTGGGGCAGCATGGCCTTGGTGTGCTGGCCCTTCCAGGAGGACTGGTCTAGAAAGCCTGGAGTGTGGGAACCCGAACATGACCCAATAAAGTATGTCTTCCTGTGCCCACTTGTGATCCTTCATGTGTGACCGTGGCTAGTAGGGGTGGTCAGAAATTGTCTGGGAAGAGGCCTGGAAGGGACTTTGGCAGAACACAAAGGGAGGACAAGAGGCCAGATAGCAGCTGTGTTTGAGAAGTAGGCAGTGTGGGGAAGAGGTGACACCGAGCACCAGGGTGGCCTGTGGAAGAAGCTGGGAGTCACTTCTTTTCCCATTCCTGGCAGCAGAGGAGGAAGGAAACGAAACCTAGGCTAGCTTTGTTGGTCTGGGTCCAGTGCCTGAGCTCCACCTGTGATGTGACAGTCCCTTCTCTTCAGGCCTGTGTTTCACTGGTTCTGGCCCTGCTGGCACTGTGCCCTCAGGCAGCTCTATTCTTAGCTGCCTGAGTGTGAAGTAAATCCTTGGGCAATGATAACAGCAGCAGAGTCAACACTGGTAGTGATAAGCAAGGGCTGGAACAGATCCGGGTGCTGGCACTACAGCCTGTCCCTTTCCTGGCCCCTAGCTGCCCCACTTACCCACTGCCTCTGGGATGGGCTCCCTGGAACCCTGGGAATGGGAAAGTTGTTCTGGTTCCCTGACCTCTTTGGGCCCAGGAACAGTACCTAGTGCCCTCTACCACTGTGGAGGACCACCTGGATGACTCTCCTTGAAAGAAGAGCGATTATCTCCAATTTGGCTAAACCTGGCCCTATTTCCATGTATTGCTATGTACAGAGCTGGCTGAGGTTTTTCCTTATCCCTGCAAAAACTGGTGTGGCCTAGGTGCTGATGTATATGATCTTTGAAGCAAGGTGACAGGTCAGTGTTTCCCTACCCCACAGGTTCCAAAAAACCTGTGTGAGCTGGGCAGGAAGGAGAGCCAGGCTCCATGCTGTCGGCTGGGATGGAGTCTCAAGATAAGAGGCTGTGATTTTCCAGGGCATAAAAGTTTACACATCAGAGCTGAAGCACTGACTCCAAAACATTAGATACTACCTTGAATTGCATTCTGCAGATTACTCTTTCTGCATACCCTTCTCTGTGCGTATTGCAGAGGTGATTTCAAGCCTAGCTAGTTCAGCTCACAGCACTCATGTACGTCCTATCATTCTCACAGTCAGTCATCCTCAGCTACTCCCTTCTTCACAAATGAATAAAGCTGGAAGAAAACCTGGGCTTGGCCCTGGGTTGAGGCCTTTGTTCTGGTTAGCTATGATCCTAGCTGGACTTAGGACCCCCTTGGCTCCCCACAACTAGAAATATGCCTTAGTGCCTTTATTCTCACTGTGAGTTGTACTAGAAGTGGTAGACTGGAATTCCCTAGAATTCCAATAAGTTTTCCATAGGGTTACAAATATTAACTTCCCAGACCACGACTAGGCCTGGGTAGGGCTCACTAAAAGTCTCCCAATGGCCTGGTGTCACTGCCTGGATGTCCAGCTAGTGCCTGATGCCAGCAGAGTGCTTTGTTCCCCGGCAGTTAAGGGCATACAGTACCTGGACCTGATACAGGTGTGGCAGGAGGGTTAGGGATGGACTGGGGACTCCTTCCCTTGGGTACCATATCCACCTGGCACCTTTGCTGTACCAACAGCAGGGCACCCTGAAAGACTCTGTTCCCCTACCTGGTACAGAAACTTAGAGGAATGGCACACTCTGGGAAGGCAAAAATGTGCCTGATGTCACAGTTTATTGTTTATAAATCATGAAAATTTCAGCTGTTGTTCTGCACGGGCCTAACAGTGTCCACCACAGGGAGGCAGAATTGGCACCAGAGGCCTTGCCTGACCCAAACCAGAAGGGACACCCAGCCTCAGGTTTGTTCTCAAGGGAGACTTGGCACTTTGGCATGGGTGCAGGACAGGTAAAGCATGCAAGAGAAGAGGAACATAGGGACATGCGTCTGGGGGTGTGGGGACCCAAATAAATAAAGCAGGATGATAGGGTCCCCTCTCCCTCACTATGGAGGCCAAAGCCTGCCTGCCCCAAGGCTGTGGTTTAGCATCAATGGGGCAGGGAGATTGGCAAGGCAAAGGGCATACTGAGGATCATGCCCAGTTTTCTAGGTGTCCTCCTTCCCAGTCAGCCTTAGGGACACAGGACAGGGGTGGGGAAGAAGGGGTCCCTTCTTGATTTAGATAAGATGCCAAGGGGAGGGCATGGGGCAAAGGCTTGGTGGGTATAGGACCTGGGCACATCCAGAGAGGTGAGCAAAGGAGAGCCCCTAGGCAAGAGAAAGCCCTGGGAAGACACAGACAAGGGAATGGGGAGGGCCACCGGAAGGAGTGTTTGAGAGAGAAGCTGCTGGAGGAACAACATAATGCCAGGAGGCTTGGGAGGCCCAGCCTGGAGGAGGCACCTGAGAGGGTCAGTCCAATTTGGCAAAGCCCCCAATGGTGACTTTCCTCTCAGGTTTGGTGCCCACAGGTTCCTGGAGCTGTACTGCACCACCCCCAATGAAGCAGAAGGCAGGGCACACAGGCCCAGAGCAGTCCAGGGGGCACTCCAGGAGCCCACGGAAAGACACAGCATCCAGGAAGGAAACTCGGCCCCGCTCGTAGTCCAAGCAGATGCCCAGGCGGGGTGGCAGGGGCACTGTGCAGTTGGCTGCTGGGCCATCCCTCCCTGTCAGCCCTGCATTTGTGCTTGCTCCGGACCCCAGCAGGATCTTGCCCATGCCGATAGTTAGGAAGGCAAAGGGTGGCGACGCCTCCACTGTGGCATCCTCAGCACCGCTGTCATGCCCACTGTCTGGGTCGTACCTGCAAGGGTGAACATTGGATATAAGGTGTTCGGGGCTGGAATAAGGAAGTGGGAGATGGGGACTGGGGACTGGGATGATGGAAGGACGGATGTTGGGGAGCAAGAAGTTGAAAGAATCAATTTTGGATATCAAGGAAAAGACATGCTGAAGAGATAGGTATTAACAGTCCAGGGTTGAGGACTGGGGATTTAGCTCAGTGGCACAGTGCCTGCCTGGCAAGCACAAGGTTGTAAGTTTGATCCCTGGTACCAAAAAAAAAGGGGGAATGTAGGGGCTTGGCTTGGCAGGAAAGGGGTGCCGAAAGGAAAGAATATTGGTGAGAGGTATGGGGAGGGAAGACATTGATACAACACACTGAAGGGATGTGGTGTGCATCAAGATAAGGAGGCATAAAAAATGCTGTTGGGGAATTCATGCTTGGGGGAGGGTTTGGAGAGAGGATGCCGGAAGACTGAGGGGTTAATGATTAAGATAGATAAAGGGGGCAGTGGAAGCAGGAAGGACTATGAGAGAGAGAGGAAGAGAGAGATGTGAGGGATGTCGGATCAGGGACAATAGGGCTCAGGAGGAATTGTGTTGGGGAGAAAGCATTCACAGAGGTGTTAAGTAGGGTGTGGGGGTGAGGAGGGTTGAGATGTTTAAAGGAAGGGTTTTGGATGCTGAGAAAAGAGGTTGATGAAGGAGACCTTAGAGGAAGAAAGGGAAAGGGGGCTTGGAGAGGTGGTATTCTGGCCCTGAGTGACAGATGGAAGGAATTGGTGAGGCTTCCTCTTCTGCCGTCCCTTTCCCTTCACGTACCCTGAAAACCAATCCGTGGAGCCCCTTCTGCTGAGCAGATCTCTCTCCTGGCCCCAGGTCTCCCACCCTGGTTCCCTCCTCCTGCTTCTTTCTCCTCATCAGCCCCTCCCCCACTGCAGCAAGCCTGTACCCCCTGTATGCCTACCCTGCCCCCAGCATCCACCCTGGGCTCCCCTACCCCACCCCTTCCAGAGGGGCCTGACCTGGGGCTGATCACATCGGGGGCACCCTGGAAGCTTTCCTGAAGCTTGCTCTCCAGCCCGACGCCCACCTTGACCAAGTAGGAGGCAGGGTCTACAGCGCAGGCCCAGTAGCTGCGGCCCTGGGTCACAGCCACATCGCCCAGGACCACATCCACGCTCAGGTGGCAGCCGGTCAGCAGCCGCTCAGCAGCCAGCAGCAAGGGCAACCCTGGGACACTCCGCACTGCTCGCTGGTCCTTGCTGATGGCCAGCCGTTCTCGGCTTGCACCCCAGCGGCCATCGAGAAAGAAGTGCAGGACTGGAAGGAGGAGGAGAGTTGAGAGAGAAGAAAGGACTCTAGAGACAAACACTGGCACCAGGGACTGTGAGGTGTTATTATAGATTTTTAGAAGAGGAAACAAGTCGTCAAAACCTTCGGTCACCAGGAATGGGCAGAGAGGCAGGGGAACTGGGCCTGAGGAGCTGAGCAAAAGGTGTAGGTGGGACGCCAGGGAAGCTTTTGTGTTAACTACAGGGACAGAAACCACTGTCCCAGACCTGGGACAGGCTTCCTCTAACCCCTTTCTCATGGCTGTGTAGTAAGAGAATTGCTCTCTTGTGCTTGGTGATATTCCCACCACCATCTAGACCACACTCCAGTGCTCACGCCTGGCCCCTGCATCAAACCCCAATCCTTTTGCCCGTTTCTGGGGTGGTCTCAGCAATACCTAAGCCTCAGGGTACAAACTATTTTCTGGAGCCATCTTGCTTTTTCTCTCTCTTTCTTTTATACAGTGCAGGGAACTGAACCCAGGGCCTCACACGTGTTAGGCAAGCATACTATACGGACCTATATCATCAGCCCTTTTATAATAATAATGATGGTAATAATTTTTATTGTCATTGTTATTGTTACTGTGTGGTGCTGGGCCTTTTCACTGAGCTGCATCCCCAGTTGTTTCTAATATTTTTTTAAATTTCAAGACAGGGTCTTGTTAAGTCATTATGTTGCACAGGATGGGCTTGAATTTGCCATTCTTCTGCCTTAATCTCCCAGAGTGTTTGGATTACAGATGTGTACCACCACACCCAGCTTATTTTTTATTTCTTATATTGAGACAGGGTCTTGCTAAGTTGCCCGTGCTATCCTAGAATTTGCCATCTTCCAGCCTCAGTCTCAAGTAACTGGGATTCCAGGCATGCACCCCCGCCTGGCCTATTTTTGCTAACATTTATTGAGCCCTTACTATAAGCTAGGATCTGCTCTCTTTGTATTTAT